GCCCACCCGCCCCCTCCTCCCGCGGATGCCAACGTGCAGCGTGCCGGCACAATTGCCGGCTCCCGCCGCCGCTTCTCGGAGAGTACCGCGCGCAGGCGTGGCGTGAGCCCTGTAAGTTTTGAACCTTTCGCGGTTGAGCTCGAACTGACAACCAGATGGGCGAGCGGCTCCTCCGCGACCAGGTCCACTTTTAAGCGCTCGATCCGACAGGCATTCTTACGCCGGACTTCGCCTGATCAACAGGCGGCGCCGATCCGGGGCGCACAAACGTCTTGTAACGATGGCCCTTGGGCCCCACACGCACCAGCTCTCGTAGCACATCACTAGCTCTCGCAGCAACATCGCAACCATTGTATCCACATCGCAACCAACCACCTTACACCAACACGCTCACCTCGGTCCCCGGGCCAATACGCTCCGGCCGCCGAGCCCCAACATTTACAACACACTTACAACATTCGCCCTATGGCCAACACCAACACAATCAAGAACAGATAGGCGCAGAACACGTCGTACGTCGGAGGGTCGAGTCGAAGAGAAGTGAAGATAGTCAGAAGTCAAGTCTTGTTTCCAGGTTCGCACACACATAAAACATCAAAACCCGTCCACGTCGTCGCGCCGCAGATAGTAGTTGTATGAAGCTCCCGCTTGGTCGGAAGGCAAGTTATGTATGGTTTTGCATTTTGCCCGAACGCAGCACGCGAGCTGCGAGTACAAGTTCGCAAGCAACAGAAGTCGGCCAGCGAGCGAAGCGAGGCAGCCGAGGTTCATCCCGGCCAACAACGCTTCACGAAACAGTGGCGCGTTAACCGCTGGCTGCCAGATCTGTGAGAGCGGGGCCCAGCTGCACAGCAACGAGCAGCGAACGATTACCGAGCAAAAATAGCAAGAGATAGGAGAAAGCGAGTCGCGTCGAGCAGTAAGCAGGTAAGCCTACCTCGGTAAGCAGAAGCTGGCGTGTGACGTCGCCCACGGGCGCAGACGCGCAGACCGAAGGCCATGAGGCCAGCAATGAGAAAGTGAGAGCATGACGTCGGCGCCCGAAATTCGCAGCATTTGGCACGACTGTGCTCCGCATACGCCGCACACGCTCCGCATACCGGTCATCTAGTGATCGGCGACGTTGGCCCTCGCCGCTGACTGCAGTGCTGTGAATGTGGGAGAGGATGCATAAGGGACAAGAAAGGGGAGATGTTGTTGGTGTTGCTACATATATGAGAACGCGAACGCTGGAATCGACAGGACAGGAACACGACGACCCAGCGCCAGCGACGAGATTTCGAAGCGGAACATGTCTAGCGATTGGGACTATGATTGGGGGTGAGTTTTGGCTTTCGCCGCTCTTGCCGTGCAGCTCTTGGCGTCGGCATGTGCGCACTCCTCGATCTGTGCAGCCATATCACTCTCGTGCACTCTGAAGGTTCAAGGCGCCAGCGCCTTCCTCGCCACTCCTACCTCCTCTCTCTCTGCACCAAAGCGACTCTGCTGACAGCAGCTCCGGCACGCAACTCTACCTCTGGGCCTTTGTCGCCGTCCTCCTCGTCCTCCTGATTGTGATCGCCGGCCTGCTCTTCCGAGCATGGCACTTCCGCCGCCTCTTCCGCGCCGAAGTCATCCACGCCCGCCTCACCGGCGCCCCGGAACCGGTATACCGCAACCCCTTCCTTGGCGGGCGATGGGCGCCCGAGTCCCCATCCGGGGAGCTGATGGAGGTGCCGACGCTATGGGACGAGGAGATGTGCCTCGAGCCCACGCTGCCGTACACGCCGTATCCGGAGAAGAGCAAGCTGGGCACTGGCACTATGGACGAGGAGGGGGGATGGGGCAAGGGCAAGGCTGTAGTCCGGCCTGCGTCTGATGGCTCGGAGAGAACGCTCTGGGAGGAACAGCTGGAGAAGAGGAAGGAAGACTGGGGTCTGGACAAGGTCCAGCCTGCGTCTTTGCACCGGTTCGAGTACGTCCATGTGCCCAAGCCGGCCCGCGTGCCCACGACACAGCCCCCGTTCTCGCAGGAGATGCGCGATGCCCTCCTCGCTATCGTGCCCCGGAAAAAGAGGGAGGAGCACGAGGACGTCATTTACGAGCAGCCGAGGATAGGTGACGGAGAGCTGAGGGTTGGCGATGAAGTTGGCGTCGGCGTGCTGATCGCCATGCCGCGGCCGACTGGGGAGAAGGATGGCAACAACGCGGGACAGGCGTGGGGCGAGGGAGAGGGCCTCGAGGCCGCGGGAGAGATCAGCCTTGGCGTGCTGGAGTGTAAGGCAATCTAGAGCTTAGAGTGTAGGATAGATGCTGGTGACGAGGAAGGCAGCGACGCAACAGAAGGAACGCAGGACAGAGCGGTGATGGGAGGAAGACACACCTTGTAGCAATTAGTCCAGTCATCCACACATTGCGCCCCTCCCTTCGCACTCCCCCTCGCTCGGCACACTTCACCTCACACTCACCTACTGACACAACTGACTTCCAGCTCGTCCTTTCGTCATGTCTCCCCATCACTCACAATGCCCCCGATACGACACGGCAAGCAGCGACCCGCGGGGCAACGGATCAAGCTCGGCGACGTCGTCTCGTTCACTCACCACGACGAAACAACGTATGGCGTCGTCACCTCCCTGGTCGGCGGGGAAGTGCACGTCCAGCACCTTGTCTCCACCGCCTTTGGGCCCATGAGAGCGCATCGGCGCTGCTCGACGCCTGACTCCGTCAAGCTCACCACCCTCCCATCACCCAAGTGGGTGAAGGAAGATGGTTGTCTCCGCCACCCACTCCCCGGCTGTGACAGTTGCCACCACCGCGACCTGCGCCGCCGCCAGCGCCAGCTCATCTTCCTCGACGACGGGAACGCGGTCAAGTATCGCGGCGAGGTATATCACATCGGCGAGCTCGTCTTCCGGCGTAGTGAGACCAAGGGCGAGCCCTGGGCTGTGGGCATCGTCAAGAACTTCAAGAAGGATGGGATCGTCGTGCAGGTCTGCCGGAGGATGAAGGGAGGGTTTGAGGTAAGCTGTTAGGGTCTGTTTGCAGCTGACAACAGGATGAGCTGTGCATTACCCCATCGAGGCGGACTTGGCTTTACGTCGAGCTTCGTGGCAAGGGAGTCATCAATCTTCCTACTCACCTTAGCTTGAGCTATCCTTGCTTCAAGCTTGAGCACCGCCAGAGGGAAGATGGAGCCATCATCCCCCTCCAGCGACCCAAGGGTCCGTGCGAGTGTATCTTTGCCGAGGCACGGCGGACGACCGCGTTGAAGGAGCTCCGTCCACCCGCAGTGGGTCTCTACGCCGGCGGTGGCGGTAGTGCGCTCGGTCTCTCGGAACATTTCGAGCTCAAGTTAGCCGTGGACACGGAAGACAGCTGCGTACAGACACTCCGGGCCAACTTCCCCGCCACGAGGGTACTGCAGCGGGAAGTCGGCAGCCTCACCGCTGCGGATATCGGCGAGGTATCCTTGCTCGTCGCAGGACCGCCATGGTATGTTTTCCTCTAACCCTCTCCAAGCTCGCTGGGCTTTTTCACAAGCTGACTCTCAGCCAAGCATTCACCCGCGCGAACCACAACCGCAAAGTCGATGCGCGAGGTCACGAACCCGCCCGCCTTCTCCGCCTCATCTCGCAGACGCTTCCTCAACTCGTGCTCATCGAGAACGTGCCTGGCATCAAGGACAGATGCGGGTCCGACGATGTGGCCTGGAACGCTGCCGAGGACGTCGTGCGCTCCCTCCTCGGTTTGGGGTATCAGGTGCGCTGGGCCGTGCTCGATGCAGCATCGTATGGTGCACCGCAGTACCGCAAGCGCCTTTTCGTCCTAGGCGCTATGACTGGCACACCGTTGCCCCGCTTTCCAGAGCCGACGCACGCCAATGCCAGGCCAGCGAGTACTATCTTCCTCGGCGAGGTGTTCAGCAGTCACGACGGGACGGGCGCCTTCCCCCCTGTCACGGCCGAGCAGGCCGTGGGCGACCTCCCCGCCTGGGAATACAAGCTAGGCGGCGTCTACGACCCTCTCAAGACCGAAGTGGGGATGCGGCGGTGCGATGTCGGCCCTCCTCGCTCTCGCTACGCCGAGCGTCTGCAGCGTCCAGACCGCAGAGCCAGGGAACACCTCACGGTCGGCTGCAGCGCGGACGACTACGAGAGGTGCGCTCACTGGAAAACCTCGTCGAGCTGACAGCAGAATCCGGAACGCACCCCCACCAGGCGAGAGCGGGAGGGAGCACCGCGCACCCCCCGATGAGCCCGTGTATACGCAGATGGGCTCTTGTCGCATTGGCGCCAAGGCGACGAACCCGCTGCACTGGCGTGTGAGCTTCGCGAAAGTCGCTTAGCTGACAGGACAGGACAATAGGCAGCTGAGCCTGCTCGAACGTCGCCGCTTCCAGGGCTTTCCGGACGGATACAAGTTGAAAGGACCGCTCGAGGCAAGGGAGCAGATGGTCGGGAACGCGATGCACGTTGGGCTCGTGGCCGCGATCGCACGTCAGATCAAGCAGGATGCGTTCGCGGGCTTCATTGCAGATTAGCTCCATGTGGAATAAGTGTCTATGCAGATTCATGCTGTATGGATATCGCGCGCTCTAAGGGTATACACTGGCTACTTCTTCTTCTTGTTCTTCTTCTTCTTTCTGGAGGGGGTTGCTGGTGGCGGCTTGGCGGCTGCCGGGGTGGAGTCCTCCGTCTGCGAGGTCGCTCCGGAGGCGGGCTCGTCAGTGGCGTCGGGGGTGGCGGCGGCTGGGGTGGCTTCGGGTTCCACAGGTGTCGGTTCGGGAGCAGTTGACTCGCCAGCAGCCGGCTCGTCCTTCGGGGGCGTTTCGGGCTTGACTTCGGCTTCGGGCTCAGGCTTCGTCTCGGCCTCCTCCTCCGGCTGGGTTTCGAGCACCGCCGTAGTCTCCGCTTCAACTTCAGCCTTGCTCTCTGCCTCCGCCGCGAGCTCGGTAAGGGGCTCAGCCTCTGAAACAACGTCCTTCTCCGGTAGTGGAGGCTTCACCTCCTCCGTGTCCTTCTCCGGAACAGCAAGCAGCGCTTCCTCTTCCTTTGTCGGACTCTCCTTGCTCGGGGTTGCTGGCGGTTCGTCGTTGGCAGGAACCTTGGGCATGTCGTCCTTGGCGGGCACCTCGGGGGTAGAGTCGTCCTTGGCCGGTGGCTCTTGCGTCTTCTTCTCCGGAATCGGGGGCTTCTCCTCCACATCCTCCTTCTCCGGCACTGGGGGCTTCTCCTCGGCAACTTCCGGCTTGGCCTCTTCCGCTGCTTCGGGCTGCACTACTTCCGGCTTAATTTCTTCTGCCACGGGCTTCTCCGGCTCTTCAGACGGCCCCTCTTCAGAGGACTTGTCCGTTGACTCCCTTGGAGAAACCTTTCGTTCAGCCTCACCTTCGTCACCAGCGTCAGCGCCCTTACTCTCAACAGGTGTCCGCGTCTTCTCAGGCGGAAGCGGGCTCTTTGCCTTTTCTTCCTCCTTGAGCTCTGTCGTCGGGGCTGCCGGCGACGTCGGCGACTCCTTCTGGTGGCGCTTGAACAGCCCGCCGAGGTTTGCGGCGACATTCTTCTTCGGCGTCGGCTTCTCCTTGACGAGGGTTTCGAGCGATTCGAGCGTCTCCGGCAGCTCGGAAAGAGGCGTCAGCCGTTGCACGATAAGGATGGCGTCTTGCAGCATGCGCTTCTTCGCGTCCTCAGACTTGAGCTCGATCTTGGCGTACTCCTCGGTCAGGCGGTGAACGCTCGCGGCGAGCACCTGCGACATGACCGCAACGACAGTGTTCGAGGCGAGATACTTGGACAGAACCTTGTGCAGAGTAGCAGTCTCCTTGACAAGCATTTGGGCGTACTGGTGCGGGCCCTCCTTGGCGGGCGTCGCCTCCCAGTCGATCTCCCGCAGCTCGCTGACATGGACAGCTAAGCGGTCCGCCATGATCGCAACGAGCTTGGCGTGAATCTCGTTCTGGTGTTCCTGGTAGTCTCCCTTCAGCTTGTCGAACTCGGTCAGCATGACTGCCTGTTTCGGGTTCAGGTGCCGCCGGATGAACTCCCGGATGTAGGGGATGAGCGCGATGACGACAGACAGCGATTGCGACGCGAGGGCGAGGTGCTTCGCCGTGATGTTCTTCAAGCCCGCGGATCGCATAGCGCCGGCACCGAGCACGACCTGGCAAGTCCTCGAGTTGAAACTCTTCAGGAACTCAATTATCCGTGACATGACATCGGTCACAACAAGCTCGAGGTTGATGACAACGGCGAGATAGTCGGACAGAAGCGACAGGGATCCAGACGTGGCGGTAACAACGAAGAAAGACTTGCCCTCGATGTTAATGAGCTTCGTGGCGCCCTGCTGCTGGTCTCCGTTGGAGCCATTCGACGTCTTGAATGGGATCAGACACTCGGTGGGGTCCTTGACGGCGGCTTCGACCATGAGGTCGACAGCGTGTTGCGTTGACGGCGGGACGTCGATCTGCACCCAGGTCTCCTCCTCCACGAGCTTCGCTGACCGGGTCAGCTTCTGCGCATGGTACGAAACCAGGAATGCGCGAGCCTGCGAAGCGGCGACACCTCGCAGAGACACAATCATGCGCTTGGCGAGTACCTCGGTCGCCACGACGAACTGCCAGCTCTCGTCGAAGACCTCCACAAACTGCTCAATCGGCAATGAAGAGTGCTGTTCGTTTCGAACCGACAGAATCTTCGACGCGCGGGTGTTGGCAAGTTCGCATGCGGAAGAGAGCACATCTGCGGGCTCGAAAGGTGGCAGGTCTGGTGACCTGGCCAAGAGAGGGGCATCGCTTCCGACGGAGATGATGAGCGCTTTGATGTGTTGGTTCTCGCTCATCATCGCCGCCATCTCCTCGCCGATCTTCTGGACGAGATGCAGGCGAGTCAGCATCGAGCCGTACATCTTCTTGCAGAGCTCGAGGAACTGGGCGTGGTCCATTGACTGCAGCGATTGGGCGAGAGTCTGGCCGCGCACCTCAGTAGCCTTGTCTACGTCCTCGTCGTCCTGGTTGGAGGAACCCGGCAGATGCTGCCGTCAGCTTTCACCTAGTGTCATAGCTTACCTGTCGTAATCCCTCCCGGATGGCTGTTGTGACAGCATTTCGCCAGATGCTGACGAGCGAGTCGCCCTTGCCGCAGCGCATCAGTCCACTTAGCATGGCGCCGATACGAGTTCGGACCTCCAGTGGGTCGAATGGCTTGCCGTGGTCGGACTCTGAGAGAAGTGACTGCAGGACAGAACTCAGGACGCTCTCCAATTGCGATGCGATGTTAGTTGTCAGAACAGCAATCGAGGTTGGCAGATTAGCAAGAGCCGGCAGTGTGTTGAGGGCAAGGGCTTTCTCCTCGACGCCGTCTCTGCCGTCCTTGTCGTTCCGCTCCCACCATCGAACAACGTCTTCGACACAGTCGAGCGAGCCGGACCAATCACCCCCATCTGCAAGACCGCGGGCGACACGCAGAATCTCATCGAGCTCTGCCATGCGCTTCACACCGCTTTCCGTGGTTCGAAGATCTTTCAACCGAGCTTGCGCGTCGATGATTTCAAGACCTTTGCGGGCCTGCTTCGAACCAACATCCTTCAAAGACGATTTGAGGTCGGCAATACGGGTGAGGCACGAGGTCGACTCAGCGTTGAGGTCCTGGAGGTTGGACAGAGCAGAGAAGAAGGAAGAGCTGCGGAGAGTGATCTCGTGCACGAGGTGGCGCTCAAGGTTGTCGAGATGCGTCGAGAGAACATCTTGCAGTTCATCGTCCTGGTTCTTGCCTGATTCGGGGACAGAGCTCATGAGATCGTTCCAAGTCGTCGGGTTGGCGAGGTCGAAGTTGGTGTCAAAGAATGTGGCAGGGATGTTGTCAAGGGAGGGAAGGTCGTCGGCTGACTTGCGCTGCTGAAGATCGATGTCCCCAGCAGATGCCGTCGCAGCCGCTTGCGACTGAACAAACTGCTCATACAAGGGTGCGATGGATTTAAGGTACCCATCATAGTAGGACGGTGCGTAGGGCTTAGGCAGTAGCGGTGGAGGTTGGGCCACTGGAGGGAGTGGCTTGCGCGACGCGCGCAGCGGGTTTGCCTTCTTCGTGGGATGAGCGAGAACAGCAGATATAGCTAGTAGGTCAGTGTATGCCATAGCCGAAGAGGTGGAGTGCCGCACACGACTCGGCGCCCAAGCACTTACCGTTGAAGCCGCGTTTCTCGATGCCGTCCTCGACACGTGCATTGACGCCGAGCTTCCACGAAACAATGTTCAAGGAGGCAGCGTCCGTCGGCGTGTCCCAACCTGCGTCGTACGAGGTGTCGATGACGCTACCAGCGGTGCCATCAAACTCGGAGAGGAAGGACTCCGACGCCGGCGGGGAAGACGGTGCTGGCGTGGTCACGATCGGCGGCGGGGTCGGATCGTGGCCTTGTCGGCCTGAGGCTGAGCCGGACGCCGACTTTGACATGTCTGAGTCGCGTCCGCCGTTGCCTTGGCGGGAAGAAGGTTGGTGAGAGAGATGCTTGCGAGAGCCGGTGGGGTCGAGCTGAACGTCAAGAGTAGCAACAGCGGAGTGACACGGTCGTCACTCGTACAGCAGTGCGTTGTCTTGGGTGAGTCTGGCCTGGCTGGCTGGTGAACCGTGGCCATGTTGTTGCTTGCGTGGTTCTCACGCGAGCCTCAGGCACAGGCACGGATCCGTCCGGCTCAGCGGCGGCGACATAGCAAGTTTCCCACGATTGCGTCGTCTGATTATGCATCATGCGCACGCGCCATTCAGACTATACGAAGGAATTTTTGTGTCCGGGGGGATTTGACTCGGTTGTAGCCGAACAGTGGCCGCGCCCTGAGTTCCAAGGATTTTTGAATGGCCGAAAGTTGCCAGGTCCAAAAGTTGGAGTTTGAACGTAACCGCACTAAGCACTTACGCTCACAAGAGCTCTTGCTCTACACTCCTCTCAACTCTCCCTCTCATCACCCCAATCGGTGACCATCGTCTTTGAAGAGTGAGCATCCTGGCGATCGGCGGCGAAAACTGACAGATCTCAGTGTGTGGTATCCTCGGTCTTCTTCTCCACGACCCTCTTGCGACCCAGACCACCCAGTGTGGTACGGAAATGTGAGCGCAGCCCGACATCGATTGTCCATGCGCAGACCGCAGTCTGCCCGCGCCCAGTGTCGATACGGCAGACTTCACGACCTCAGTTACTAACATTCGCAGCGCTGAGGGTCTTTCTCTTCTCCAGCACCGGTGAGTCTAGTCAAGTCCGGAATCTCGGAGGTCCGGCCGCGCCTTCTGATTTGCCGCTGACATCTTCAGTGGCCAGGACGCAGCTGGTATCGTCACCTGCGGTTCTGGTGGTCGCTTCTACCAGGTCAAGGCCAACGGCATGGTCCGTGATGTCTTTGACTCGCAGGCCGTCGCTGGCCTCAAGGGTTACATGGGTGTCGGTCACGGTGAGTAGTAATGACGGCATGCGTCAGCGAAATTCTGTGGCGACAAACGTGCCGCAAGCGCTTAGCAGTCGCAGTCGAGTGGGCAAGTCGCTAACAGCTGTCCAGTCCGTTACCCCACCGCTGGTTCCAGCGCGCACGCCGAGGCGCAGCCGTTCTACGTCAACTCGCCCTACGGTATCACCTTTGCTCACGTGAGTACTTTGCATGCGTGCATTTGGTATTCTGGTCGTCTCGAGCTGGCTCGTGCTCCCGATCGAATGACGAGAGGGGTCTGGCAACTGCTCTCGATATCAGATGGCGGCGAAATATCATTGCAAAACGCCATAAATACCAAATCTCGGATCCAGCCTTAGTGGGACGGTTACTAACTTCTCCCGCAGAACGGCAACCTCATCAACACGCCCGAGCTGCGCCAGTTCCTGGACGCCGACGCGCACCGCCACATCAACACGGACTCGGACTCTGAGCTGCTCCTCAACATCCTCGCGAACAACCTCCAGAAGACCGGCAAGTTCCGTATCAATGAGGAGGACATTTTCACCGCCATTGGCGACCTCATGGCGCAGTGCAAGGGTGCCTACGCTTGTGTCGGCATGCTCGCCGGTTTCGGTCTGATCGCTTTCCGCGACCCCAACGGCATTCGTCCCGCTGGTTTCGCGACCCGCGACGGTGCCCGCGGTGGAACCGACTACCTTGTTGCCTCCGAGTCCATCGTTGCCCAGGGTATCAACTTCGACTACGACCGCTGGGAGGACATCAAGGCCGGCGAGGCCATCATTATCACTCGCGACGGCGGCATGACCCGAAGGATCGTTGGTGCCCCCGCTCCCTTCGCCCCCGACATCTTCGAGTACGTTTACTTTGCCCGTCCCGACTCGACGATCGACGGCATCTCGGTCTACCGTGCTCGTATGGCCATGGGAGAGTACCTCGCCGAGGAGGCCAAGCGCGCCCTCGACAAGGCCAACATCAAGGTCGACGTCGTCATTCCCGTTCCGGACACGTCGCGTGTCGCCGCGCTGCAGCTCGCGCAGCACCTTGGCATCCCCTACCGTGAGGGTTTCGTCAAGAACCGTTACGTCGGCCGCACCTTCATCATGCCCGGCCAGTCGCAGCGCCGTAAGAACGTGCGCAGGAAGCTGAACGCGATGCCGATGGAATTTGCGGACAAGACTGTCCTGCTCGTCGACGACTCGATCGTTCGTGGTACGACGTCCAAGGAGATCGTCCAGATGGCCAAGGACGTCGGTGCCAAGAAGGTCATCTTCGCTTCGTGCGCGCCCCCTATCCGCTACTCGAACGTCTACGGTATCGACATGCCGTCGCCCCAGGAGCTCGTCGCTTACGGCCGCACGCCCGAGGAGGTTGCGCAGACGATTGGTGCCGACCTCGTCATTTACCAGACGCTTCCGGATCTCGTCGAGTCCTGCGCCAAGTTCAACCCGGACATCAAGCAGTTCGACTGCTCCGTCTTCACGGGCGAGTACGTCACGGGCGGCGTTGACGAGAAGTACCTCGAGCACATTGAGCGCCTGCGCAACGACAAGGCCAAGGCGAAGAAGAACTCGCAGGCTGGCATCAACATTGCCCTCGCTGACGACGACCGTCCCCCCGCCAACGGCTGCAACGGCCCCATGAACGGAAGCGATTCGCTCATCGGCCTCTCGAACCACTCCCCCAAGCTCGGGCCCCAGAACATGCCCTCGCCCAAGAACGACATTGTCGGCCTCCACAACAACAAGTTCGGCCACTAAACCTTCACATTCCATTAAAATCCCACTATAGAGTAGAAAAGAGTCCTCCATCTGTCTTGTTGTGCTGTTGTTCGAACATAGATACCCTCTCGGTCTCTCTGCGAAGCTCTGCGAAGAGCTGGAGAGGAACGACTCATTACAATTATGCATCAGGGTTAAGCGTTAGCGTGTGCCTCATGCTCATGAGGCATTATGACTAATCTAATCGGCGGCCCGTTCCAGGAGACGTGCTCGCTCATCCTCGGTGAACCAGCGGCGCCGCCGTTCCCGCCGTTCCCGCCCATCTCCTTCCTCTGTGTTACCACAAAGAAGCCATCCGAGTCCAGTTCCACCATTGTTATCGTAAGATAGATAATCGTAGCTGTGATCATGATGATTCCCTCCATCGTTGCAACACCCATGGTGATGGTGACTCCTGTCATCGTGGCCGTCACCGCCGCCCGCGAGCAGGCAAGCGAATCCCACGATTAGCAACACCGGAACGAGCAAGTCGGTCCACGAACTCGATCGATCTGTCTGGTTCTGGGGAGGGTCGTTCGATCTGCGTGAGGGCCCGGCGAGGTCCATGTTCGTGCGAGTCTGCTGTCAGTCGAGGGGCGAGAAAAGGAGATGATGTACCGGCTGATGGACAATCCGATTAGGCTGGGAGGGGACAGGACGGGTGGACTCTTCATATGAAGGCGGCGAGTCATCCGCCCCCGCGCTACCATAATCACTCGGCCGCTTTGCGCTCATTGTATGTTGTTGGGATGCCGTCGTACAAGGCGTTATGTACGGAGTGAGAAGGCGAGCCTGATTAGGACGCATGAAGCCCGCGGTGGAGAACGCCACTGGGCCGACCCCATGGGGCGGACGCTATTCACCGTCGTCGCACCCATCATTCTCGCACCCGCCATTATCGCACCCGCAAGATCTAACTTTGATCCGCCTGGTGTTGGTGAGAATGCGCAGCAGCCTCGGTGAACACGGAGCACAGCCATTGGATTCATTCCGCATCTCCGACTATTCTACTATCCGCCTTCACGCCCGCGTCTCGTCGTAGGGGACCTGTTTGTTGTACGGGAGACACCAGCAGTGATCCTTCGTGGCCGAGCGGAAGAAGCCCTCGCCCCAGATCGAGACGCCCGCGTGCATGGTGTCCGCAACGAAGTAGCACATCGGAACGTGGTGCTTGTACCGACAGGTGTTGTACATGCAATTGAGCCATGTCTTGTCGCATTGTTCCTTGGTCTTCTCACATGTCCCGTAGCAGATGTCGTGATTGTTGCAGCATTCCAGGAAGTCGTAGACGTTGATCTTGGCGTCGATGGCCTTGGGACCGCAGCCGTTTCCCTTTGGCTGAACGCGGTTCGACACGGCGTGGTATTCCGGTAAGCACCGCTTCGTGCCGATGATGGAATACGCGTCGTCCCGGTACGGTCCTCCCCCGACTACAACGTCGCCGCCGCCACCTCCCCCTCCTCCTCCTCCTCCACCACCACCAGAAATCCTGCA